TTTTAATCACGTGTATATGTTACCATCACCGTCCATTTGGTATATTGTTTAACATGTTTTCAAGTCACTGTCTTATCTACAAATGTTTACGTCACTCAGTTTTGTTTGTGCACTTACATTAATACTTGAAGCCATCTGTTTTAAATACAATTGTACACTGTTATACCTATACATCTAAACTTTTAATTTTTTGCCAGAATCTCTTTTTTTACAATATATATATAAGGCCTGACTCTTTAAGTAGTTATTTTTGTCATGTTTATATCAATGGTGAAAACTACTACTTTACTATTGTGCTTTCATTGCTGGAAAGTTATTCAGGACGATAACAATTCAAACCTTACAAATTTTACCTTTTAAACTCGTTTCATGATCATTTCTACTTTAATCATTACACAAAGTTAATAACTATCTATTATTTACAATAATTTAATGTATACTTATTAAAGTTTTAGTTTTGTTAGGTACCACTTTACTACTGTATTTCGCACCCCACTGGCACAGTGGAATGTCTGCGGACTTACAACGCTAGAATCCGGGTTTCGATACCCGTGGTGGGCAGAGCCCAGATAGCCCATTGTGTAGCTTTGTGTTTAATTACAAACAAGCAAACTACTGTATTTCATCACCAATGGATAACAAGCCACCTGATATCAATGACTTATTTTGTACTTGGTATACACAACTTATTTATTGACCTCTGTTTTATCTCAACTTGTTTTGTTTGTCTACTAATATGTAGCGGGACTTGTATAACTGTAAAAGCACAAGAAAGGTAACACTTACATTAATACTTGATGCCAGCTATCTTAAAACACAAATTTTACATTGTTATACTTCTACATCTAAGCGTATTAAATAGTGAGCATGCGCACAATTAGAAGAATTGTTATATTAGAATTTATATAATTTGATTAAATGCTATTTCCATCTCAGAGAACTAACTGTGTTTCGTACGTATGGTATTGTACGTTGTGTGACGGTTAAAGTTTAAAATAACTTCTAATTCTTGTCGGACTCTATTTTTACGCACAATAAATAAAGAAATAAGACCAGATTCTGTAAGTAGATATTTTTGTCATATTTATATCAGTGGTGGAAAGTAATTCAGAACAGTATCAATTCAAACCTTACAAAGTTTACCTTTTAAACTCGTTTAATCATCATTTCTATTTTACTAATCTCACAAAGTTAATAAATATGTATTGTTTACAATAATTTATTATATACTTATTAAAGTTTTAGTTTTGTTAGGCACCACTTTATTATTTGGTATTCATTGTTTAGCGGTTGAATAATCTTTCTTTATATAAAAACCGGGTTGTTGTTTAGACATCTTGTTACTTTTGTTATGTTCTATAAATTTACAACTTCTATGTTATTTTTATATTCGCACATTTCATTTTATTATATCTTGTAGTTTACTCCAACCGAACATATAGTTCGATTCAATAAATGTTTCAGTTAGATGCTTTTAAACTGATATTTACACACACACAAATAACTGATATTTACATGTATTCCTTCGTTCCATATTATACGATATTATATTACGACCACGCGATCTCCGATCTCGACTATTGTTGTAACAACCTTTTGTAAAGTCAAGTGAGGTAAACCTTACACAACTTATTTTGACAAATCTATCTTCAGACCTACTAATGACGTGTGCGATAGTATTGGATCAATTGAGGTCCTAAATGCGTTGTTCCTATATGAGATTTTCGCTTCTGTGGGTAATATTGAAGGCTATATTATTCAAAATAGTGTCCTGTGATTCTACATTCTGTAATAATCATGGTAAATATATTCCTCTTTGGCACAGTTCGCATATACGGGGACAACAATAGCATAAGCA